AACTAATGTTAAGGAAAAAATAAAAACCCTATACTGCAGGTAGAAGTTATGGGAAACAAAACACCTTAAATGAGGGTGGCCATTTGATTTTCACCCCCAATACAGATGTGATTACTTCCAACATCTTACAAAAAATCCTGATTTGAAAATTATTTCTTTTTTTTTCTTCCCACTTTCTTCTTGAAATTCCAAATTTTGCTCTTTTGTAGACTCTACCTATATGTTTATATCCTTAAATATTCCATTCTTGACTCTAGGGTTTTTCTTATCTTTTCTATGTGTGTACTCTTTGCAGTGCTTAGCATGGTACTGAACATCTAGTAGGCACTTTATCTAATAAATACTTGCTAAAATTTGAAATGTGAGTGTGCATTTCAAACTTTTGCTTGGTGGTAGACAGGGACATCCTAGGGGAAACTCAAGCAGTTTCTGGTGGCTTTGATCCTCATACCAAGAGTAAGCTCCATTGGATCAAATTTGAAGGGATTACTATTTATGATTGATGCTGCCTAGAGGTCTGTGTTTGAAAGGGAACAGAATAGAAACCATTTTATGATCTGTATGTATCTCATAATATCATGTTGTTCATGTTAAATATATTCAATAAAATTTATTTTTAAAAAAAGAAAGAAAGAAAGGTAGCAGAGTAGCAGAGTAAAACTAGGGCTAGACAAACTTTCCTAAGCTTTCCTGAAATTACTTGTTAAAAAAAGATTGCTTGATTTAGGGGATCTGGGTTGGAGTACAGAAAGTTGTTTTTATTCTTGTTTTTAAACAAGCAAGTTTACAAATTCCAGCAATGAGGAATTACTTGATGAACTGGCAGAAAGAATAAAGGTCCTTAAAATTTTTCTTTATAAACTGAGAGTTACCAGGGCTGGAAGAAATATGTTACAAAGAATGTTGACACTAGAGTCATACATTAGAGTCAGGCAGAATTTAGTTGAATACTGTTTCTGTCATTTACCACTGTGTGACCTAAAAGAGGTTATTTAAACTTCCTGAGCCTCTGTTGCCCCATATGTAAAATAGGTATAGTAATACCAACCTCAAAGCATTTTTATAAAGATTAAATTAAATTATATGTATAANAATAATTATTATAATTTAGTCAGAAGAATAGTAATTTTAAGATGATTCTAGATAAGTAGCTCTTCTGCTACTGTAAATGAGAAATCTGAAGTACTAATGTAGTCCCAACAGCTTACTATGTAACAAACTATTAAAAACTGCACAAATACAAAATATTACATTTTCATTTTAAAAAAATCTTTATTGGCTGTTATAGTAAATGTGTCAGATTTTGCTAGTACCTTCAGTGCTAGTGCTAGACTTATGTTGAAATTTCACAAAATAATTAGACAAATTAATGAAAATTATGACCATTTGAGAATAGAAATTATTCAATAAGATTACATTTTATGTGCAATGAAATGCTGCTGTTATGGAAAAACATTCAGCAGAGGGTATTTGACCTCAATTCTGATTCCATTACCTCTAAGAGTGACTGTTTTCTAATTTTTTAGATTCTCAGCACCTCAGTTTATCTCTCTATAAAATAGGGGTGTTTCTTGCAGTTCATACTGAGACTAGTAAGATTATCCATGAACAAATATCCTCAAAAACGAATTAATCTTCTACATGACTACTTGTAAGCTTCAGTTAACCACTCCCAAAACATGGGTGAAATAGGAGGTCACACGCTGTTAATAGCAAGTCATTGCACCACTTAAACACTATACCACATACATATCTGGTATAATATTGGTTGGATTACTTCTTTTTGGGTTTCAGAATGCCAAAGCAAAATCAAAATTTTGAGTGGATCCAAAATACTGATTATTTAATAATATAGAAGATTTTATTTTACTTGGAAAAGAGGCAAATCGTAATAAATTTAGTGATATTAGGAAGTTTTAGACTAAAAATATATTCTACCTGGGCTCTGTAAATATTTAGGCAGTAAAAAGAATATCTCAAGTCCTTTAACTTGCATATCAATTTTGATATATTATT